TTATGGTCCAACTCTCACATCCATACATGACTACTGGAAAAAACCATAGCTTTGACTAGACAGGCCTTTGATGGCAAAGTAATGTCTCTTTTTTTTTTTTTTGGTCTCTGCTTTTTAATACGCCATCGAGGTTGGTCATAACTTTACCCAGGAGTAAGCATTTTTTAATTTCATGGCTGTAGTCATCACCTGCAGGGATTTTGGAGCCCCTCAAAATAAAGTTTGTCACTCTTCCCATTGTTTCCCTATCTATTTGCCCTGAAGTGATGGACGGGATGCCCTGATCTTAATTTTTTGAAAGTTGAGTTTTAAGCCAACTTTTTTTACTCTCCTCTTTCACTTTCATCAAGAGGCTCTTCAGTCTTCGATTTCTGCCATAAGGGTGGTGTCATCTGTGTATCTGAGGTTATTGATATTTCTCCCAGCAATCTTCTTGATTCCAGCTTGTGCTTCATCCAGCCTGGCATTTTGCATGATGTACTCTGCATACAAGTTAAAGTCTATCTTACATTATTGAGTGCTTATGATCATCATCATGACTGTCATTCTTCAAGGCCATGTGGAACTCCAATGAAACACTGAAGTCAGGTGTCACAAAATGTGATCTAAGGACAATCATCTGAAAGAGTTATCCAAGAGGCGGATTGTTGATCTCTACCCCACACCCACAGAACCAGAATCTCTGAGCGTGGAACTTGGAATCTGCATTTTTAACACTCTGCATGGAATTTTTATTTACACCAAGATTGGTGAATACTCCTTATGAAACCCGAAGCTGAAATACTAAGTTCTACCAAAAACTATTCTATGTCAGTTTCAATCTCCCAATTTATCCCTCCCCGTCTTACCCCTTGGTAACCATAAGTTTCTTTTTTACTTGGTAACCATAAGTAACTCTGATTCTGTTTCATAGATAAGTTCATTGGTACCCTTTTTTATATTTCACATGTAAGCAATATTAGATAATATTTGTTTGTCTGACTTATTTCACTCAGGGTAATAATCTCGAGGTCCATTCATGTTGCTGTAATGTCATTATTTCATTCTTTTTTATGGTGAGTAATATTCTACTGTATATATGTATGGCATCTTCTTTATCCATTCCTCTGGGACATTTAGGTTGCTTCTATGTTCTGGCTATTGTAAATAGTGCTGCTATGAACACTGAAGTTCATGTATATTTCCAAATTATGATTTTCTCTGGATATATGCCCAGGAATGGGATTGCTGGATCATATGGTAGCTCTGTTTTTAGTTTTCAAAGGAACTTCCATACAGTTCTCCATAGTGGGTGTTACCAATTTACATTCCTACCAACAATGAAGGAGGGTTCCCTTTTCCCCACACCCTCTCCAGCATTTATTGTTTGTAGATTTTTTTGATGATGGACATTCTGACTGGCCTGAGGTGATACATTATTGTAGTTTTGATTTGTATTTCTCTGATAATGAATGACTTTTTTAAAAAGCCGTTCTATCTCTGCATTTTGCGCCTTTCTCTGGAAAATTGCTCCTGAAAATGAATATCTATAGCTTTCCGGGAAAACAGCTCTTCCCCTGATCATGGTCATGGTTACCAGAATTTCCTCCAAAAGTTTCTTTCACAACATATGCCTCCCTGGGGTCAATAATCCTCAAGGTTCCAAAAACTTCTAAATGTTTTCACTGCAGACATCATCTCAGCACCTAGTTTTTCCTGTGTGTACCATCTCTTAATCATCTGACCTTCCGACCAGTCTCACAACTGACAGAAGCTGGCAGCCATGCAATCATCTCCTCTGATCATCTTCCTTTCTTTTTTAAGAAAAAGGATGGCTTCCTAGGTGGCTCAGTGGTAAAGAATCCGCCTGTCAATGCAGAAGATGCTGGCGATGCGGGTTTGATCCCTGGGTCAGGAAGATCTGCTGGAGATGGGAATGGCAACTCACTTCAGTATTCTTGCCTGGAGAATCCCATGGACAGAGAAGCCTGGAGGGTTACAGTCGGGGGAGGTGGGGAGGGTCACCAAGAGTTGGACATGCCTTAGTGACTAAGCACACAGCACACACAAGCAGAAAATGAAAAGCAAGGAAAAGAAGGGGAATTGAGTGCAGTTTTTCACTGAGAAATCACACACAAGCCAGTCTTGGGATGATGGCTACCTGAAGATCAAATAACAATAAAGTTTGGAAGATGAAATTTCAGATTATTTGGCAGTAGCTGTGGAGTCCCAATTTTAATGATAGCTCATTGAAATTGCTCTTTTAACCACTCAGCTGAATCTTCATATTCGGGCCTTTGTCTTTGAAAAGAGGAAATTCTGAGATTATCTGATGATGTGAATCTATTTATCTTCTTCTTCTAGGATGAGAAAGAACAATTGACTAAAGACATCATTCCTATATCCAGGGTCCTATAAGGCAAAAACTCACAGTCACCATGTTTTGATGCCAACTGAAGCTTTTGCAGCAGTTTGAGCAGGAGTCATTCATACTAGGCATTTTGCTCAGAAAATACCTGTACCAAGGAATGGTAATATCCTTTGTGGTCACATGTTACAGGATAATCCTATGTGAAGTAAGTTTAGGTGTGAGTCACATTTTTTAAAAAATGCAGATTCTTGGTATATTCCTATCCATGGGCACTTGGTCTACATGATGGAAGGGACTTCTCTAGTACTTGACTGTTAGGAAATCCATAAGATACGCTTAATTTTAGAATTGGTCTCTCTGTTTTATTAAGTCTGTTCATCATTTATCAAGGGGTCAGGAAGATCCCCTGGAAAAGAAAATGGCAACCTACTCCAGTATTCTTGCCTAAAAAATCCCATGGACAGAGGATCCTGGCAGGCTCCAGTCCATGGGGTTGCAAAAGAGTCAGACACAACTTAGTGACTAAAATATCATGTCATGTATAAAACAGACAACAAATAAGGACCTAACATACAGCACGGGGACCTCTTCTAATACCCCGTAATGGCTTACATGGGAAAAGAATCTATAAACAGTGAATATACACGTAACTGATTCACTTTGCTTTACAGCAGAAAGCAAACATTATAAATGAACTATACTCCAAAAAAAAATTTAAAAAAGAAAATATCAGTTCCAGGTCCCATGGCTATAAATTTAATTTGGGGATGGGACCCCAGGGTAGCTGCATTTTTAGAAGGCTCACAGATAGTGAAGGACAGGGAAGCCTGGCCTGCTGCAGTCCATGGGGTTGCAAAGAGCGGGACACCACTGAGGTGTTTATAATGTAGCCAAACTTGGGAGGCCGCCTACCCTACACGTTTGTTGGTCTGCGTTATCTGTGTCTGCTACGTCACCACCCTAGCTCAGGGGTCCAGGGAGGGTCACTCAAATTCGGAGTGCTGCATACACAAAAGCCTGAGTCTGAGCTCAGGCTTGCATATTTTTCAATTTAGACTTGCATATTTCTACTCAGTGCCTCCCGTGCTAAGCACTTTGCGAATATGTTCGCCTGGGGCTCAACCAGGTGAAGAGATGTTCAAGTTTCTGGTTTCGTTTGTTGCGATTCCCGACGCGTCCGCAGAGCCTAGAACAGTGTTTGGTACGTAGCAGGCGAACCGCATTATGCGACATTTACTGAATTCCAGGTAATCCTGCCTCCTTTTGAATCGTAACAACGAATCAGTGAAACGGGTTTCTATCTCTGACTTCTTGGGCCGAGAGCTCCGACACCATCGGATCCGTGCCTGGAGATGACACCTAGCCGCCGGGAACCTCCCCGATTCTGTCCCACCGTTCGGAGGCCAAAGATGTGCCCTAATAAGGTTCAGCTCAGTAGCGGCCGGGATTAACCCGGAGTCACACGAGTGGGCGTGTCCTGCCGCTCGCCTGGCGCAGCCTCAGAGGAGAACNGTGGGCGTGTCCTGCCGCTCGCCTGGCGCAGCCTCAGAGGAGAACTCGCCTCCCCGGCCCCGCCCTATTCTCTCCCGGAGGGCTGGGCGAAGGGCAGGCTGGGAGAGGCGGCGAGTGGAGCCTGCGCGCGTGCGCGGTAGCGAGCTCACGGGCCGGTAGGCTGTGGCCGGCAGGGCCTCAGCGATTTGAGGGAAAATGCAGGTGAGCAAGCCGGGGGTGGGGCAGGGGGCTCGATGCCTAGAGGCTGCGACCGCTCGTTTTGCCCGGCTCGGTCCATGCGGGCGGCTGCCTGTCCCTGCCGGGCCCGTGGGAAGTGCCGGGCGCCTCAGGCTCGGGGTGGCCACGCGAGTCGAGGCTGGCGCAAGCGCAGTGCGGACGGGCGGGCGTGGTCCCGCGGGCTCGCGGGCTGGGCGTGCCCGCTCCCCTCCGTGTGTCCCAGCCCCGAATCTCAGCTTTGACTGTAGTTCTCCGTGAGGTCGGCTACCCTGAACCTGTGAAGGCCTCTCCGGATCTTACCTGACAGAGTTGCTTCCTCCTTGTTAACTCTTAGCGAACACCTAAACAGGTGTGTTATGAACCCCCTTCACGGATGCGGAAGCTGAGGCTCGGACAATTGGAGGGTCCTGCCCTGAGGGGGTCGCTTAACATAACCCGTGTTCTTGACCCTGCCTAGAGCTGAGTGAGCGGTTACAGCATCCTTCCCTCTCTGCCTCCCAGTGTTGGTGTACAGGTGGAGATGCGCCCCCAGTCTGGAGTCCAGCCTGAGGGTCCCGCTGCCCAGTTATTAATACTTTACCTTTTAAAATGGGTAAAACCAAAGCCCTCGGTTTTGTTCTTTTATTGTATCAGGAACTTACTAATGGAACTTGACTAAAAACCCATGGAAAAGTGAAAAGAAGACATCGAGGACATGGATGCTTGTGTGAGAAAATCTCTGATTCAGTTTTGTCACTGTTAAAGGACCCTCCTCCAGAGATTACTCTGCTGTCTCCTAGATCTCCCTGTGGTCCGGAATCCTGATGAACTCATCTCTGTCTCAGTGGCAGAAGGGAAATGGAGTTAGTGTGGGTTTGACTGGGGGTGAGAGGTTTGTTGCTGTTCAGTCTCTCAGATGTTTCAGACTCTTTGCAACCCCATGGACTGCAGCAGGCTAGGCTCTCCAGTCCTTCACCATCTTCTGGAGGTTGCTCAAACTCATGTCCTTTGAGTCTATGCCATCCAGCTATCTCATCCTCTGTTGCCCCCTTCTCCTCCTGCCTTCAGTCTTTCCCAGCATCAGGGTCTTTTTCAGTGAGTGGGCTCTTCACATCAGGTGGCCAAAGGACTGAAGCTTCAGCATCAGTCCTTCCAATGAATATTCAGGGCTGGAGAGGATGATCATCTCCAAATGCAATGTATCTGATGAAGGGGAAACTCAGGGCTGCCCTGGCCTCCTTTGTGTTCTCTGTCCTTCAAGCCCCTGCTCGAAAATGTCGTGTCTTAAGAGGCCTTCCTGACCACGCTGTGGAACGGGTTCTATTGGTTTCTGTTTGAGATATTTCAGCAGGACTGGCCAGGGAACTGGGGGTAGAGACTGGTTATCCCAGTGCCCTTTCCACAGCTTCCTGGTTTCACATTCCAGACCTGCCAAGACATGCCAAACCAGGGTTTGGGCAGCTGTGTTCTGAAGCTAGGAGCCCACCTTGGCATTTCTTTTTCTGATAGTTGATCCTGGTAAGTTTGACTTGTTGCAGCCTGGGAGTGTCTTCCTTAACACCATGGCTCTCCCAAGTTTGTGAGGAGTAACTAGGTATGTACAGGTGAAGAACTTTGTGGTGTCCCCAGCATGTAGGACTCAGTAAGCATCAGCTATTGTGAACTTCTCCATGGCATCTCAGCTCTTGCTCTTAGCCTTGGCCTTTAGGGAATCAGTCAGGCTCTCTCCCTTCTGATTGTCTTGCAGCCACTCAGGGCTTTGGAATACTCGGTATCTTGCACTCGGGCCCTTTGCCCAAGCTGGTCCTTCTGCCTGGAAAGTAATTTCCTAAATTTTCACTCCTCTGTTTGGTTCCTTCTCACCCTCCAGTTACATTTAAATGTCAGCTCTTCTAAGAGAATATCTTTGCTGCCCATCCTGTGGACTGCATGCCCCCTGGAAGTCTAGCTCAGCAGCCTGGTTATTGCATTTGCCATAACATATAATCTAGCTCTTTGTATATTTAATTATTCATTGCCTATTTCTTTCTCTAGCCTATAAAACTGGTGACTTTGGCATTCATTATGCTTCCCTACCATCTAGTACAATCATTTACATATAGTAGGTACTTAATAAATATCTGTTGAAGAAAGCACTCCGAGTCATTAATGAAAACTGACCGGAAGCCAGGTCAGAGCCTTGGTGTCAGCATGGATGTTAGTCTGGACATCATAGCCTGATTTTTACCCTAAGACAGGAAGATTGGAACACGAGTTGTGTGTCTTTTGACAGATTCCCAGAAATAGACCTCAGAATAATTTGGTGTGAATTCCCCTTCTTACCACTTTCCCATTTGAACCCTTGCCCAACATGGCGCCCTCCACAGTGGACTTGGCCCTCACGGTACCCTTGGTCCATCTGCTCTAGGACCCCAATGCAGACACCGAGTGGAATGATATCTTACGCAAAAAAGGCATCTTGCCCTCAAAGGAAGATTTGAAAGATCTGGAGAAGGAGGCAGAAGAAGAGGAGCAGCGGATCCTCCAGCAGTCCATTGGTGAGCTTACCTGTGTTTGTGATTCTGTGTCTCTCTGCTTAGGAAACACTTGGCAAGCCTCTAACTGCTTCAGTAGAAGGATCCTCTGAGCGAGAGTTGGGAGCAGGGATTGAAGTGCTGGGCTGGATACTGCCTCTGGGCCCTCCAGCAGGCTATCTCTGGCTTCATCTTCCTGGGCCATGGAACTGGGGGCACTTCAGAGGCTCCCTCTATTTCCACACTTTCTTGTCTGTGTCGGATCAGCACATGATAACCCTGGAGAAAATATTTCTGAGTCTCCACTTTCTGGTCAGTGATTCACTTTGGTTGGGGGCACTTCAGAGGCTCCCTCCATTTCCACACTTTCTTGTCTGTGTCGGATCAGCACATGATAACCCTGGAGAAAATATTTCTGAGTCTCCACTTTCTGGTCAGTGATTCACTTTGGTTAATGTCATGGAAATCTGCCTAGAGGTTTTTACTGTTTGTAGTCCCCTGAACATATGCTTTATCTTTGTGGTTTGATTGAGAATATTAAAATAGCTTGATTTTGGGAAACATAAGATGCTTGTAGTGTATGCGGTCTGAGGTCTTTCTCACATGTAGGTATACCACTTGAATTGGAATCCCTCATGGTGCTTGTCAAAAAAACAAGCAAACAAACAAAACACAACAACACACAGTCCCTCCTGAATCAGAATCTCTGGGGGTAAGGCCCAGGAATGTCCATGTTAAGCCAGTGCCTCAGAGAGTTTCTGATTCACGCTAAAGTTTGAGAACCGTGGATCACAGGGGCTAGGACTTCTGTCCCGTGTTGACATGTTAGGGCTGATTTAGAGGAGGATTTATGACACAGTGTTTATCTAGCTAATGTAATAAATTCTGTCCAGTTACGGAAGGACTGCTGTGTGCCGTGTGTTTTCTAGGCACTGGGGCTTTAGCTGTGCATGGGCCAGCCAAAACACCCTGTCCTCTTGAGCTTACGTTCTAAGGGAGGAGACAGACAGCAAATGATACCTGAGTGAAATATAGGAAAATAAGGCAGGAAGGGGTTGCAGGAGAAAGTGAAAGTCACTTAGTCATGTCTAACTCTTTGTGACCCCATGGACTGGGGTCTGGCAGGCTCCTCTGTCCTTGGAATTCTCCAGGCAAAATACTGGAGTGCATAGCCATTCCCTTCTCCAGAGGATCTTCGCAACTCAGTGTTCGAACCCAGGTCTCCCTCATTGCAAGTGGATTCTTTACCATCTGAGTCATATAAGTGTATAAGGTCAGAGGAGGGGTGGGTGTAATTCTAGAGCGTCAGAGACGGCCTCACTGGGAGTGACATTTGAGCAGACCTGAGGGAGGTGAATGAGCAAGTGGGAAGCACGTTGGAGGATCTGCCAGGAGGCCAGTGGGACTGGGAGACAGACGCAGGAGGTTCAGAGGGACAACCAGGGGTCAGACGTTTAGGACCTTGTAGCTTCTAGTGTGGACCTTGGCTTCGATGTCTAATGAGGTGGACCTCATTGGAGGTTTGAACAGAGGAGGGATGTGTCCTCTGTGTTGACAGCACCTTCCTGTTGTTGTCTTACTGGGTGCGGACTGTGGGGGCAGGGCAGGAAGTGGGGAGACCAGTTGAAACGACTGCAGTGGTACCCTTGGCAAGTGATGCCATTGGCTTGGGCCAGAGTGGTGGGTGGAAGTGGCCAGATCTGGGTGTATTTTGAAGGTAGGGTCGGCAGGGTTTGCTTATAGATCCTGTGATGGGTGTAAGAGCGAGTAAGGCAAAGATGACTGCCAGGCTCTGGGTTTGAGTGGCCAGAGAGATGGAGTCACCGCCTGAGGTGAGGAATGCTTGGGCAGGAGCAGGTTTGGAGGTGAAGGTCAGGAGCTCGATTTAGGACCTAGTCACTTTGAGGTTTCTTATTAGACAAATACAGATGGTAGGTGAGCAGTTGGGAATGCTTTCTAAATCAGAAATAAGGGCTAGAGGCCTACATTTGGGAGTTGTCAGCATGTCAGTGGGTTTTAAAGCTGTGAGATGCAGTCACCAAGGGAGCGGGGATAGGTGAGGAAGGAAAGGAGTCCAGTCAACAGAGGGTCCAGGGGAGGGGCTCCCAGGAGGGAGGAGGAAAAGAGGCCAGAGGAAGATGGACTTTGAGAGAGGAGGTAGTGATGGATTAGGCCAAATATGCTCATCAGTTGAGAAAAGACGTCATTACTGACTTTGGTAAGAGCAGGTTTGGGTCATGACAGAGTGGGGTCAGGGGACAAAAACCTGACTGGATGTCAAGAAGCAAGAGTCTTTATGGCAATATAAACAAAATACAGATTTTTACAGCCATTGATAAAAATAGAAGAGAGAGCTGCCTACCAGTCACAAGAGAAGACAGGTGATAATCCCTTGACCTCTAGCAAAGGTGTGCTGGGGAGGACTCCAGAGGGTATCCTCCCACCTTCGTGGAGGCATGAGAACTGTTAATCACCTGTCTCCGAGCATCAGTACTTGCAGATCAGGCTACTTGAGCTCAGGCTAATATACCTCTTTCCTTTTATAAACTTGGGAAACTTCCTGTTTGTATCCTTATTGTTGTGTGAAGATAAGAGAGCCAGTCTGGCTGATATCAACACAGTCCTATCTTTTAAAAATGCTCTCCCCTTCTTCATTACTGTGTAACACTTTGGATGTGTGCATGCATGCTAAGTCACTTCAGTCATGTCTGACTGTTTGTGACCCTATGGACGTGTAGCCCATCAGGCTTCTCTGTTCATGGGATTCTCCAGGCAAGAATACTGGAGTGGGTTGCCATGCCCTTCTCCAGGGGGTCTTCCCGACCCAGGGATTGAACTTGGATCTCTAAACATCCTGCATTGGCAGACAAGTTCTTTACCACTAGTGTAACACCTTAACTACTTTTTATTTTGGTTTTTCCGAGTGGAAAGCAACCCAGCTGAAGAATAAATTTGGAGAGGTTTTGGAAATCTCGGGAGAGGATTATGTTCAGGAAGTTACGAAAGCTGGTGAGGGCCTGTGGGTCATCCTGCACCTTTACAAGCAAGGGTGAGCTGTCTGATGTGCACACGCGTGCTCACTCACTCAGGCATGTCTGACTCTGTGACCCTGTGGGGTGTAGCCTACAGGCTCCTCTGTCCGTGGGACTTCCAAGTACTTGCAAGAGTACTGCAGTGGGCTGGCATTTCCTTCTCCAGGGGGTCTTCCCTACCCAGGGACCAGACCTGCACGTCCTGTGTCTCTTGCTTTGTCAGGGGTGTTCTTTACCTCTGAGCCACCTGGGAAGCCCTGATGCCTGTCTTTAAATATTCATTTGAATTTATGTCTTGAACATCTCAGGCTTACTTCACACCAGAGGGTTTTTTTTTTAATTAATGCTTTATGTGTTTTTGTTGCAGATTTGCCCAAATGTTATTGTCTAATTTTTGTCTTAAGACTTTCAGATTAATATTTGTGGCTAATACAAATGCCTTTGTTAAATTGTAGCACAACAGATTTTTTTTTTCTTAATTGTAAATGAATTCCTCAGTCACTTGTCCCTCTGAAAAAACTCCAGCGTTTCACGACTCCATGTCGTGAGTCACTCTCCTTGACGGCGCTGGTGACCTTTGTGAGCATTGTCCACGGCGAGTGATGCAGAGAGCCCCTAGTGCCTCACCTTCAGTTTTGCTCCCACCATGTGGAGTCAAGTGCTTGTGGAGTTTCTTTCAAGCAGGAGGCGCATTCTGAATCATACATTCTAAGCCTTGGATGTTCTCTCCTTTAGAAAAGCAAGACAATTATCTTTTACAATGGAGCTGCTTTTCTGAGTTACTTGGTCAGATTAAATTGGACTTTGGCTTTTGAACACTTTGCCCAAACCTATTAGAACGTTTTTAGAAACCTTTTGTTCATCTTGGCTGGAGTAGCAGAAGCACTTGTGAAGTTGTCATGGGGTTTTCTATGGGGCACAAGGGCGGTTGAGGTTTACTGTATGCAGACACAAACTCACAGTTGCTTCTCTTTATTTCACAGGATTCCCCTCTGTGCTCTGATAAATCAGCACTTCAGTGCACTTGCCAGGAAGTTTCCTGATGTCAAGTTTATCAAAGCCATTTCAACCACCTGCATCCCCAATTACCCTGATAGGAATCTGCCCACGATATTTGTGTACCTCGAAGGTGACATCAAGGCCCAGTTCATCGGCCCTCTGGTGTTTGGTGGCATGAGCCTGACACTGGACGGTAAGGACTCTGAGGTGCACATGAGGGGTGGGGAGGGAGTGTGCCTGTCGTTAAGGGCGCTTGTTTCCTAGACACAGGTGAGATGACTTGTCACAGAGTCACCTTTGTCCCCTGTGAGTGAGTGTGGAAAGGGAAGAACATTGAATCTGCCATCTTAGATGAGTCACTGGGAACAGTTACAACTGGACTTTCAGTTAAAAGAGGGCAAAATGGATTTTAGAATATTTAATATATTGTCTGTGCTGTTTTATTTGTCCCTACAGTTGAATATGTTTGTTCTTTAATTATAACTCAAGATCACATCATTCATTTATTTAATTCACCCAAACATATTAGTGACATGTTTATATGTAAGATACATAAATACATGTAAATTTATACATATATAAATCTCTATAAAAATATTTTTTCAGTTGAAAGGAAACTTTTAAATGAAAAGTTTATTTAATTCTGCCTCTTAACTCCTAAAGGATATATCTTTTATTTTTTTCTACTTGTGAAATAGGAAGTATTAAAGTACATATGCACAGATAATATGTGGGAGAGAAGCTGAGGCCTGCGAGCTTCCTACTAGGTCAGATTCTTTATCTCTTTAGTGCAGTGGTATGCTTTAGTTAGTAGCCTTTAAAAACATGTGTTATATCTACTTTATATAACTATGTAAGATATTCAACTGGGAAACATGTAAACAGATACATGGATGCATATATATATTATATCAGTTTTGCTTTATTCCAGTGTTCAAAGACATATGATATTTCAAACTATGTGTTTTGCCTCTTATTTTGATCTTTGAACATGCCATTAGTGGGGGGAGAGAGGTGTACAATAATAATTATAGTCTTTGTTTCTAGAAAAAGTCTCATTTGTAGGCCAGGCTCCATGGAATTCTCCAGGCAAGAATACTGGAGTGGGTTGCCATTCCCTCCTCCAGGGGATCTTCCCAACTCAGGGATCAAACCTGGGTCTCCTGCATTGCTGGCAGATTTTTTACTAAGTACATTCTTTATTAAGTACATTAACTTATGCATATGCATGTACATGTGAATCTAAATACATCCTTAGGAATCAGAAATCCTAAGAATTTTTTTTTGAGAAATTTATTGAATTTTCTTGGTCATTGAACCAAGATACCTAGAGCTGAAAATAACTGATGCTGTTCATCTCCGTGGAACACTTTGAATTAATGCAATTTCAGTAAAATTGGTTTTCAGATTTTTAAAAAAATTTATTGGGTTGCACTGGATCTTAGTTATAGCATTCAAGGTCTAGTTCACTGACTGGGGATTGTACCCAGGCCCCTTGCATTAGGAGTGTGGTGTCTTAACCACTAGACCACCAGGGAAGTCCCTGATTTTTAGATTTGAATAGAAGTTTCCTAATTAGTAGAGCATCAGTTTAAACTAGACTGTTTGGTGTAGAATCTTTCTGACAGTCTCTCACTCCTGCCTGGGTGGAAAAATATATCACTTGATTTTGCTTCACAGTGTCTCACACCAAAATGGATTTTCACTGATAATAAGAGGGTAAAGTATAGGAGCTAAGCTTTTAATCACTGATTCTTTTTTTTCTCTGACACTTTTAAGAATTATTACTACTTGGAACAAATGTATCAATCCTAGCATGTCATCATACATTGAGCCTTTGACTCTAATAGGTTGAGATATTGGACATGAGGTTTAAGAATTTCCTTTAGCTAAATAAAATTGGATTTAATAATTACATTGCCAGCAAGACTGTGAAAAGTATTTTCTTCGTATATTTCATGCTGATTTCTTTCCTGGGACATTCTGCAAGCCAAGAAGGTAGCTGTGAGGAGATAGGTTTAGTCCTTGGTTTTTTGATTAGTTATCCTGGAGGTTCAAATGTATGTAATATTTCATTTCATCTCATTTTATGAGAAGTTTTTGCAGGTATTTTGTTTTCTTAAGGGTCTAATTTTTTTTTTCCCCTTTCTTCCAGGTACCTTATAATTATGACCCTCAAATTGTCATCAAGTGTGGATAGTCATAGTTTCTGCTTAGAAAAACACAGTGGCTTGAGGTTTCCCACTCAGGCTGAGTCTTAGGCAATTTGCTTTTTCTTTATCATGCAGAGTTGGAGTGGAAGTTGTCTGAATCTGGAGCCATCAAGACGAGCCTGGAGGAGAACCCCAGGAAGCCCGTGGAAGACGTGCTGCTATCTGCGGTGCGGTGCTCCGTCCCCGCCAGGAGGGACAGCGATTCCGAGGATGACTGAGGCCGTGGCCCTGGCAACCAGCTGAACTTTCTCGATGTGATACAGCGTCTGAACTTTTTTTAAAAAAGGAAAAAGTAGGAACGTATACTGTGGTTTTTTTAGTCTTTTATATTATGTTCTGAATCTCATAGATCTAAGAAACAATCATTGCTGGGAATCCTTTTAAATTTCTGGGAACTCTCTTTTTAAATTAATAGTATTTCCTTAAGAAAAAAATAAAAGCCAGATATTAGTTTGGCTGATGTCTGTGTTTTCCTCGCTTATATTTTAGGTCAGCTGTAAGACTATTCGTTCACATAAAACTGTTCAAAAAGAAATACAGAGGTTTTTTTTTTTTTTTTAACAATGTGAATAAATTATACAGTGGAAAATGGCAAGCTAAGCTTTGCATTTATATTATTTGTTTTTATTCTTTTGTAGAGCTAGCAACAGGATTATTAACTCAAAGGGATGATTGATAGAAAGAAGTCTTAGTATTTATCCTGTTTAGAACAAATAGGCAATAATTTTTGTGAAGTACTGTCTTATCAAAGCCTAAAAGATTAGGCTTATCAAACTAAAAGATTCCAATTTACTGCCATTTGGGATCAAATAATTTTTCTAGTTAAGATAATTTTTTGTTTTCAGGCTGTTGAGATGTGAGCTAATCTCAATTACCATAAAAAGGTGTCACCTGAAACTCTTTTTTGGAAATAAATAGATATAAGCACACACAGAGGTAGACAAAGTGTATCTCAATCAGTCAGTAAAAAACATAAAAAGTTTCTGAACCAGAATCCTCTTAGCATTTACCACTTCGTGTCAAATTGACATTAACAGAATAATCAGGGGGACTGTTATCCCCTTATACCTGTGTTGAGTAATGTAGTGCTCACTACACATAGTAACAACTCCTGGTTTGAATCTTTAGAGAATGTGATCAGAGAGGGCACAGAGCTCCTTCAGATTGTTGTTGTTTATTTTTGCTGTCATTCAGAGAGAAACAGGCAGAAGTGTCTGCATTAGTGACTTTGTTCTTCTGTTCACATGAGAGCCAGCACTTCTGATGGAAACATACCCTGTGTCACAGTCTTCCTTGAAGGATTTCTCATGAGACTTTAATTGCAGGCTAGAAATAAGCTTGGTCAGTCCTGTCACTCATCTGCTGGTCGCATGGCTTAGATTTTCTGTTGTTGGCTGACAGCAGAGTGAAATGCAGTGGTGAAGGTGTGAGTGCCATGTTGGTCAAGAGCTGTGGTGCGTACATGTCCCCAGGGGAGAGAGGTGTGTGTGAGCATGTGAGGCTGCGTCTACCAGAGCTGGCGGCAGGCCTTGTTCCCCTGAGGGGCCCGTTCAGGGTGTCATCCTCAGCGTATGCTGTGCCACTTTGATCTTTGTTCCTGTGCCATCTCTCCTCCATGCCAGATTAAGGTGTTGAGTTTGTGCTCAAAGGCTCCGGTGACTTGGTTCATGATCCCTGTCTGGACATACAGCTCCCAGCTCATGTCCCTGTCTGGACATAAAGCTGTTTAGTCGTGCTGACTGAAACTTGACTTAAAAATGCAGAGAAGGAACAGCTTCTTTGTCCTAATATTAGAATTGTAATTTTGAACCTAACCTGCAAATTTCTACAGGTTGGGTACTTCTGGGAGACTTCCCTGTATTCTTTACCATTAACTCCTGTTTCATTTGGAGCATTTGTGATGTGATGTAGATGATGTACTTGGCTCTGAAGCGTTGAGTTTGTCTCGTTCCACAGCAGAAACATACAATGACCAGGGAAAACCGGCAAGAAAGATCTCGGCAGTCTGTCTCCTGGTGTTGGGAGGGAACAGTTATGGGTAAGGGGTGTTGAACAGGTGCTGGATAACCCTCTCTATAGTGATATTGGTGAGAAATGTTTTCAGGAAGTTGGGGTGGTAAGTAGTTTGGGAGAAATAACATAGTAAGACTATAGACTCACCCCTTGGCATCCGTGGTAGTTGGTTCGAGGGCCCCATGGGGTGTCTGCAGATCCTCAGGTCCTCTCAGCTGGCTCTCCACATCATCAGTCCATGGTTTGTTGGATCCGCAGATGTGGAACCCATCTGCTATGCTGTGCTTTGCTGAGTTGGGTCCGACTCTGTGACCCGTGGATGGTAGCCCACCAGGCTTCTCTGTCCATGGGATCCTCCAGGCAAGAATACTGGAGTGGGTTGCCATTTCCTCCTCCAGGGGATCTTTCCGACGCAGCGTTCCAACCTGTGTGCCATGTCTGCCCTGCATTGGCAGGTGGGCTCTTTACTGCTGAGCCACCTGGGAAGCCGACTGTAATCAAATACAGTTGATTTTTCCTAGTTTTCCTTATTTTGTTGAGAAGAAAAAGGATACAGTTAGGATGTACACAACTACCTCATTGCAAACCTAAATTTATGTCCTGTCCTGACATTGCCCAAACGGTGGCTTCCTGGGGCATCATCTTCCCAAAATGTCTCAGGGAACTCATCTTGGATGCAGCAGACACTTTGTGAGAGACAGAAAGGGCTTAGAAGGGGGTCCTTTGTCCCTAATGCCTCAGTTTTCACCATTTATTGCCTCCAGCTTTAAATTTACTCTTCTTACATAACAGCCCCAGTTTTGCCAATGCAGTTTTCAAGTACAACGGGTCAAATGTGTTGTGACTGGGTTGCCTAATTTAGAAACATGCTCTGTGAAAGTGGTTTTGTCCTCCTTGTGAAACCAGTTGTTACTCATAAACAAACAATCTTTTCCACGGGTGGGTTTCGCCTGTCACGTTTCTGATGTTTATATTCACTTTAGCCTGAGGTTCTGGCTTTCTGCCTCTGCGCGCTGCCCCGGCTCGGTGACTGCACAAGGGACCTGTCGCTCACGTGCTGCTGGGAGTTCCCTGGGCCCATTCTCACTGCCCATCCCTGCAGCAGCCTTGTCTTCCGTGCATTCAGTGTCCAGTGAAGATGGGTCTGCCCTCTAGGGCCTAGCCATCCTTCTATACTTTTGACCCCATTTTCTCCCCCATTCTTTCAGGACTTTGTTCCAGTAAATTATTGCCTTATCTCAGTCTCTCCCTTGATGTGGGGCCTCAGGCTATAAGTGTTGGGCTTGGTAACAGAGACTGCTTCCTGCCTGTCAAGGACCAGGATTCTCCAACTCCACTCCAGCAGCTGAAGAATTAGGCTCCCAGCCTCCGTTGGAGCTGCGGGTTGCCAGAGTGAGGTGGGCAGAAGTTGGCTGGGGGTCCTGGGCACACTTCTTGGGAAGGGCAGCTGCTGTAGATGTGACTGCAGCCGACCTGTGCTGTAGGGCGTTCGTACAGAGCCAGAGCATTATGCATGATATTTTTGACGATGTTGTGGAGCCTGTGTATTCCAGCTCCGACTGCTGTCTCTGGACTCCTTACTGGGAAAGAAGTCGCTTTCACCTTGGCCTCTCTTAGAAGCAGAGCGTCCTCTCATGCATGTCCTGCTAAAGCCCCCTGCCCGTTGTCTGTCACAGCCACAGCTGTCCCAGCTCTCTGCTCCGCGCTTTCAGGCTGCCCGACGAAGCAGAGCAGCGTCTGTTCCCGGCCTCTGTGTCATCGCCATCATCACCCTTCAGGAGCTTCGTGAACCAGACCAGGACTTCCGCTTTCACCTGTAAAAGACCAGATGCTCTGGACAGCTACCGCCCATCTGGCAGTAACTCAGAATTGTTTCTGTAACGTTGGTAAACGTGTGGCTGAGCTGTCAAGAAAGGAACCCATTCTAACAAAACTGCGAGAGGCGAGCGAGCCCTCAGTGCATGTACCCCCGGGGCTCCTGCCGAGTCTTGGTGACCGAGCACCTCTGAGGGTGGGCTTGGGGGTTAGCAGGAGATAAGCCTTCAGGGAGGCCCCCTTGCAAACAGCTGGGCTTCAGCGTTGGGGGAACTGGCACTAGTTGAAAAGGAAAACAGCCCCCCTCTGAAGTACTTAGACACCTTCCCTCCCGTGGGTTTGAGTTCTCATGGTACATCTCAGCATTTCCCATGTGAAATTCTTAAACAGATCCCATTGTAATGCCCCTGGGTTCAAGGTCAGAGCAACTGTATATGCACATGAGAACTCAGCTTTAATTTGGTACTCAAGATACTCTCCACAGGGACATGAGCTGGGAGTCATAAATCACAGGAGGCCTCAAATAAGGCATCTCAGATGAAACCCAGCAGAAGAGAGTGCAATCATCCTGCAAGAAGTTAAGAGTAATAGAATTTTCAAGACCAAAATGTGAGCACATTTAATAGTTGTAAGTAAGTAAAAGAATAAAGAAGGGTTGCTTATGTAAGTCCCTTATAAAAATAACTAATGGAAGAAAGAATTAATAAACTGAAAAGCAAAGCCAAATAATTACGCCACAGGGAGCACGCAGAGACAAGTAGGTGGAAATAGAAGTTAGATTAAGAGATGTGGAGGAGTGGTGAGAATGTCTAACACATCACTTAGAATTTTAAAAAGCATTAGAAATAAGTAACATTTGGGAAGATGAAGGTAGAATTTCCAGAACTGATGAAAGACATCAACCCTCAGATGCAGAAAGCTATACAAATTTCAAGTGAGTTAAATGAAGTAAATCCACACCTTCATGTATGTAATGAAACTAGAATATCAGAAAAATTTGTAACACAGTGGGAAAAGTCAGATTACCTGTAACAAACAGCAAAAATAAGGCTCACTGCCTTCTCAGCAGCATCAGCGAAAGCCAGAAGACTGTGATAGTATCTGTGGGCTACAAAGGTGCATCAACAAAAACTATCAACTAAGTTGTTAACACCCGGTGAGGCTCTATTTTTTAAACTTTTATATTGGAGTATAGCCAATTAACAATGTTATGATAGTTTCGTGTGGACAGAAAAAGGACTCAGCCGGATGTATGCAAGTATCCATTCTCCCTTAAAATCCCCCTTCAGCCAGGTTGCCACATAATTTAATGAGGCACTATTTTAGAAGTGAAGATGTCATCAAAAGACTTCACTAAAGGAAATTTAGAGGATTTACTTTGTGCAGAAGGACAGTGATGAAAGCTCTGAGATTCAGGAAAGCATAGTGACCAAAAAAACACTTATGGTTAAATCTGAATGAGCATTAACTTTATAAAACAATACAAATGATGTCTTGTTTACGACATTAAGATGAAATGGAACTGAAAAATAGGGCAAATTAGCACAGAAATTGAAGGGGACTTCATTGGAGTGTAAATGTTCTTAGATCCTTAAAAAGTATTCAAGAGGTTGGCAAAAATATGGTTAAAAACCTTCAAGTAAGAGTAAAATTTTTTAAAGTATATAATTTTAAAGTAGTGTGTCTGAGGGTGCTCAGTTAATTCAG